ATAGATAGATAGATAGATAGATAGATAGATAGATAGATAGATAGATGCGCGGATCCAGAAAGGGGTCCAGAACCCCATGGGATTTTGGAGTTATATCTGAAGAAAATTGACTTGGAAAGTGGCTTGTCCTACACTCCCATCACCCCCAATTTAGTTGTTTTAGGTTTGGGCAAGTTGTTTATGTTTTTATATTTCCATATTTTCCAAAGAAAATTCCGGTATACTGTTGTTATCCTGTTCCGTCCGTCCGCCCATCTGTCAAACCATCCTCTTCCTCAAACTACTCCTACATTTTAATTAAGCAGTAATCAACTCATCCTTTGGAATGATCAGGTGTTGCCCTGTACAGGTGCAAAAAGATTTGGAAATTTTTCATGTTCATCCTTGGAAACATATTCACATTCTGGAATATTATTTCAAATGTCCTCTAGATGTGCAGTAAGTTTTTGGAATTTTCATTTCACCCGGTAAGAAGGGTGGGGTGGGGTGCGGATCAAAATGCGACATTTTTTCCCCTGAACTCCTCTTACATTTTCCGCAGTAACCCATTCATGTTTGGAATAAGTTGTGTCTGTAGATGTGCACCAAGGTTTCGAAATTTTCATTTTGACACGGGGGGGGGGGGGTAAAAAATTGCGATTTTTTTCTACAAAAAACCTTGATCCCTATACTCCTGGTTTATTCAAAGTTTTCTAAATGACTTATACGATTTCCTGAATGCATCCAATAATTAAAGGTTTATCAGCTATATCACAGATGTTTGAGAATTCAGTTTAATTTTTTTTGTCATGTTGTAAATTTTGAATTTACCGGGTGGCAGTAAATACTGCCACCCGGTAAATTCAAAATTTACAACATGACATTTATTTTTTATTTTATTTTTTTTTTATTTATTATTTTTTTTTTTTTTTTTTTTTTACAAATTATTTGCAATTCTGTATGCAGATTGCACTGGTGGCAGGATCTTCTGATGAATTACAAAAACAACTAGATATATAGTTTCTATAAGTATTGCAAAAAATAGAATTTAAAAATAAATACTGATGAATCGAAAATATTAGTATTTAGTAAAGGTAAACGTACAGAAACATTACAGTTGCGAAATGATCATGGTAAGTTGATTGAGGTAGTAACAGAACTTAACTATTTGTGAGTCGTCTTAAGGATATCCGATCCTCAGCCAGGAAGGATAACTCTTTAATTTTTTATTTAATTCAAAAAGTCTCTAAATGAAGCTTAAATATGAAATATTTTCATGCAACAATTTCCATTTTATGCATCTCAATGTGATTCAAGGTTCGATGAAGTTTTAGAAACAGTCTTTAAACATTAATATTTTTACCCTATATAGATATGTTAAAAATACAGATTTAAAGAAATTGACTTTTCCTTTAATTTAGCCCTAGATACCAATGCTAATTAGCATGATATGAAATTAGAAATGATTTATTATGTTTTGCAATGTTAGGAAACACTTTTTAAATTATGCATTATAAAATAATTGAAGTACACAGAAGAAACTAAAGTATTGAAGAAATATGACAATCATGCAATTTTCTTCAAATGCCAGGATACCTATAGTTTTTTATCCTAAAATGTATTTGTTGATCAATTTCCAATTAGAAAATGCATAGTAGGTGTCTTTATTCGCATTTCCTGAAAATTTATTTGAGATTTACGAATTTTTCCTATATAATATGATTAACTTTAATAATAAATTTTGAACAATTACCGTAGGTAAATTCACATTACTTTGAGAATTCAGAGACATTTTTGTGAGCATTTTCAATTATTCAATGCCAGATTTTCAGAACCTAAGGATCGGACTACCTTAAATAAATCCGGCTCTTTTGAAATAGAAAAAAAGAGAAGAAAAAAAGCTGAAAAGGCAACAAAAGCAATATATTAAGTAATAAAGCAAAGGAAGATTACATAATTTATCGGTTCAGTGTGAACTTTTTTGTTTGACATTAATTATTATTCAACCTATATTTTTATGTGGAGTTTGGGGTTTTCAAATAATGCAATTTTAGAAAGGGATCGCCTAAAAAAAATTAAATTTTTATACTCATTTTAAAAGATTCAACTCCAGAATTCATGATTTATGGTGAACTTGGTCGATACCCCATTGAAATTCAGATAAATACATGTACACACATGGTATCTTACTGGTCGAAATTAATTACTGGAAGGAAACAAAAATGGCAAATTCATGCTATAAATTAGGATTTATTAAAAATCAAAGAAATAGTAGGAAAATCGGTTGGAAATATTTTGAATAATAGTGGACTATTTAATATTTGGCCCGAATAAAGCTCAAGTAATATAAAATGGTTATAAGGGCGAAAGTCAAATACAATAATTGATCAATCAATGCAAAACAAGGTTAATTGGCAATCAATTATTCAAACCTCACCTAAAGACTTAATTCATAGAATATACAAAGACTCATTAAAGTTTGAAAATTATTTTAATATTACAAATATACACATAAAATTTAAGAATATAATTAGTTTTTAACATATTATGAATAGTAATAAACACTGCTTTCTGAGAAAATTGTGGCTCGTTTATAAAGAAAAATAAATCATAAATGTGCTCCCGATATATAGAATTCCCATACTTAACATTTATAGTAACGTACTAAGTTTTGTATTTTATTCTTCATGCATGCCTTTTTTATCTATTACTTTGTATTAATCATCTACATGTTCTTGTAATCTCTATATATAATTGTAAAATGGTGATGAGATTCAAATAAATGAATGAATGTAGTGACATACGTAAACAGGTATATATGTTAGCATAAAAAAGATCGCTCATTTTTGGTAAGCAGCCTTATCAAAATCACTTAAAAACTGGTTCAAATGTCATGATATAATATTATAAGTTCCAAATAATTTTAAATTAATATGTATAAATTGTGGATATCTTGGAAAACAATTTTCAATAGATATACATGACAGGCCCCTAGGAAGCAATTTCAGTTGGGGGGGGGGGGCATAACCATACATTTTTCAGTTGACAGTTGAGGGGGCACTACCAAAAATTTTCTGACAAGCAAAAAATAGGGCATTTACTACCAAAATTCTTTGACAAGCAAAAAAAAAAAAAAAGGCATCAGACGTTTTTATTGAGGGGGCACAAGCATATAGCATCTATGTTTACTATAGTAATCTATATATCAGCAAAATTATGGGGGGGGGGGCACAGCCCCCCGTGACCCCCCCCCCCCGGTTCCTACGGCCATGCATGAATGAAGAAACATAGGTAAGAGTTACCGCCTTTTGCACGTACATTTAATATACTCAACAACAAATATTTCTAGTCTATTTGTCACGAAGATAAGTTAATGAAAGATTTTGTGAAAACCTTAAATGTGAAATCACACAAGGGTTGAAATCTGCACCGGTTATATGGTTCTTTCTACATTCATATATAAAATGTTATAGTCCTATGACACAAGGTACACGTAAGCCTAATCTTAATTTCTTGCCACAAATCTATCTTTGTGACGGCACAGATAGGAGCTGACCTGTTCTATAAATTCTTAAAGAACATTTAATTAAAATAGATAGAAATTTAAACTGTGGAAAACATCTTTGAATGACTGGGTTTGTGTGTTTCTTATAGAAATTAAGATTTTTACTTTAGTAAGTTTTTTTTTTCATTCCATCCTCATAAGTCATGTGCCAAAATCTCTCGTAAATATGTCTGCCAATCGTATTAATATTTACATACACTCTACAATGTTAATAAATCAGTGAAGTATTCTGAATCAGGTTGAATATTGTGGATTAATAACATTTAAGTTTTTTTTAATTGGACAGTTATAAATATGTACATGTACTCAGTTTGGATGATTTTTTCATAATTATTTGGCTCAGATATTTTTGCTGTGCACTACGAAAGCCTATTAGGATCAAACTACGGTAAAAAAAAATTTAAAAGGCGTTATAACGCCTTTTTAAAAGGCGTTATAACGCGAAAAAAGGCGTAATAAAGCCTTTTGAAAAGGCGTTATAATGCGGAAAAAGGCGTAATTACGAAAGCCTATTAGGATCAAACTACGGTAAAAAAAAAAATTAAAAGGCGTTATAACGCCTTTTCGAAAGTCGTTATAACGCGAAAAAAGGCGTAATAACGCCTTTTGGAAAGGCGTAATAACGCTTTTTTTCGCGTTATAACGCCTTTTGGAAAGGCGTAATTACGCCTTTATTTGCGTTATTACGCCTTTTTCCGCATTAGAACGCCTTTTCAAAAGGCGTTATTACGCCTTTTTTCGCGTTATAACGCCTTTTGAAAAGGCGTTATAACGCCTTTTAATTTTTTTTACCGTAGTTTGATCCTAATAGGCTTTCGTAGTGCACAGTTTTCAAGAACTAAAATAATTTAAAAACGTTTATGCTCATCGGATACATATAAATTTCTTTTCTAAGAAAAGGAAAGCGGACGGAAGTGGCAATATAGAATAAGAAAAGAGGAAGTAGTACTCGATATTTCCATTTGCATAGGGGGCATGTAGTACATACACCCTATGCAAACTTTTTTTTGGACAGAAGTGCTGGAGTATTACATGACTGTTCACGGACAGGATCTTTGAAAATCAAATTTCATTGCACTTGATACATGTATTGAACTTATGAAAAGATGTTAGAAAGTATAGTTCATATTAAGTTAAAATAGACAATAATAAAACAAAATTTAAGTCGTACACAATATCTAAACTCATTAGATTTACGTTCAAAGCGCCATTTGATGTATTTGATGGGCATATGGGAAACGGTCATATTTTAATCAAATTTCCCATGTTTACAGTGAGTACTTCTTATTAGATCCACTCTAATTAAGTTTTAAAGTTTGCTTTTTTCATTAATCTGTTAATTCATGTACAACATATACCGCTTTTGTTGCCAATATTACATACAATTTAATACTCTTTAATATTTGCATCGAAATCGCTGAAACCTCTCCACAGTTATCTCCTTTTCCTGATGACGTCACGGGCACTAACAGGAAGTCGTCTAAATCGCCTTCGACATGGATCAACAGACTCCAGCACGATAACTGATGTCGCGGAGTGAAAATTAGAATCTTCTCGGAAGCAGAGGGTCGCACCAGACACCAAGGGATGCCTTTCTGGACGAGGGAGGATATTTTAGAACGGTGATCTTTTATTTCATTGATAATAAGGGCATTTCTTAAGTTTGGACAATACCATTCGATGTAAGGGGTCAAAAACAGCTGTATTTGGTTGTTATGTATTGATTTCCACTTAATTAATGATTTTTCTGTACGAATCGATATTTTTATATGCTTTTCACTTGAATACCCATTGCTTTTTTCTTATACTGGATTTCCAAGAAAATATTAGCTAACCGAGAAACCATGCGCTCCCTTGCTATTGAATTTTGGCACATTCCAAATGTCAGACAATGGAGAGAGTTTATTTCGTGTCATCAGCTGATTGCTGTTGTTCTGTACAACTGAAGGAAACAGATCCCAGAACTGACAGACTTAAGATATGCCCAAATCTCATCAGACATTATGTCATCCATTTGCCTTAGTGTATACAGTTTTAACACACATGTTTATTTCAAGGTATTGCACCATGTGCACTTTTACCAGTGTTAGCTGTTTATCTGTAACAAACATGTTTGTTGGGAATCAAAATACACAGCAGGAGTGGCATATTATCTAAAGATGGAAAAAAGACCTGTTTAGTGTACCATCTTCCCATTACTGGGAACTGTTTACCAAGCTGATAATGAATATTCTAATCTTTGACAGTAAAGCATTCATTTCACCCATGCCTTTTGCTGCTAGGGTCTCGGAGAACATCACTAACCATTCTTTATAATTGGGGACCACAGGTGATTTTATACTGACTATTATTAATTATTAGGTTTGTTACTGACTGTCTATAGAAGTATATCAGGTTGGACAATCTCATAGACAGCGAGACGAAACCGAGCCGAGCATCTAGCTATAAGATTGATCAACCCAATATACTTCTATAGACAGTCAATAACAAACCTAATAAGTGAATTGTTTTCTCAAGGGTCATAATATGAGAGACAGAAACACAAAACAGGCCAACGTTTTATCAAAAAGGGGGGGGGGTGCAGCCACCCCTCCCTCCGAAAAAAAATGCCTCTAAGTCACTGTGAATTTTTTAATGCAATGACATAGCACACTTTCCACCCAATTGAAACAAAAAGTGTGTTTTTTGGGGGGCGTGGGGGTGCATGAATTTGAATGATATAATGTACAATAGGGTATACAGCAAAAACACTATTCTGAAAATAATGGAAGCCCCCCCCCCCCCTCTTTCTAAATTATCAATCTTACCTTTTACTGTCAAGTAATCTTAATAAATCTTTATAAACTTTAATAATTGTTTCTGTTTAGATTCTAATTCAAAATGTTTTCCCTCTCTTGTCGACACTTATACATCTTGTGAAGCAGTCACAACAAATCTGACATAATTTCTTAAAAGGGCCACTACTCTAATTTCAATAAGAAAACATTATGGAAAGTGGTTTCTGTAATAAATGATTTCTGATATTGAAATGTAAATGCAACGTATGGGCCATATTTGAAATTCAAATTGATTTAAGCCAGTTTTGATTAGATAAGTGATAATTTATACTAATATATAGGTAATACCATATATCATTGCACATAGATTGTTTGTTTATTGGTATGTGCCTTAATTTCCAAATGAAATTGCTTTCCATGGGACTGTATGCTATCTGAGATAACCATTGATTGAAAATAATTGTAAATAAAAAATATTATCATGCCTAGCTATAGATAAAATATGTTAATTTTTACAGTAATGTTGTGGTAGTACATGTATATAATCAATCGTAAGAACTGTCATCAGTTATAATGTAGTATATATCACATCAACACAGGTACAAGATAATGATGAAATTCATGTAACTATATGCTTTTTACATATACATGCAATTGTACTTGAGGGCATGTTATTTTTTGCATCATCACTATAAATAGTATAATGTTTGATGCACTCATCACTTATCACAGCAATTAACTCTCATAAGAAACTATGATTTAGAAAAATCAAAATATATTGTCTTGTCACATGATACAACATATTCTGCATGGATGACAAGTTTGTGTACTGATATGTGTTGTTACTTCAAGCATCCATAGTACTTAGAAGACTCAGGGAAAGTGGGACATTTAATAAAATCCTCTTTTTAATAATTATCATGTGTCACATGTGTAACAGTTTGTATATATTGTAACATTTAGTAATTAATACATGATTTGGATTCATGTAAATGAATATCTTTGCAGTATATCTAAAATGTTTTAAAACTACAGTCTACTCCACTTATACTGAAATTGCTTATTTTGAAATGCTGATTATATTGATATAAAACTAAATCCCAATTCTCAGTTTCTCATTAATTATCTTTACTATAAGATATTGGATTAATTGAAATCACTGAGATGATAATGAACTGTTTTTATAACTTATACAGAAGTTTTTCGGCCAGTTGTCGTCACAGTTGGTTACTTATATATAAACATCGCAGTAGATATATTTTCACCTAATATGTTTTAATTGCCTGTTTTTATAATAAGAAATAATTTACTGAGGGGTATCTTGTTCTATATTGACAGCACTTTTAGACAAATGCTTGTGTAAGCAAGTAATCACAAGCATGAAAAACATTGTCTTTACATATAATTAAAATGAATTAATGTCTGTCATAAATAAAAATATGAAATCTAAATCCAAATTGAATAGTGAAGGATTTTGAGATAAATCCAAGCACACACTAGCAATGATCTACATGTATAAACATAGTGTCACTGTTATTGAAGCTTTCAACTTCCTCTAAACAAAAAAAAATGAGATCAGGAAATTATACTGATATATATGCCAAGTATAGGTCTAAATCTGAAGCCCTTCACCAGTATATGGTGATGTCTCAATATGAGTGAAAACTTCTCAAATGAGACATAAATCAACATACAGTCAATCAATCAAATTAGGTAGTATAGCCTATTAGGAATCAACTTGTCCTCTGTCTATCTGTATGTCTGCTCATGCAGTCGTGTCTGGACAATAACTTTGTAATTGAGAAACATTGGAAGCTCATACTTTAACACAAAGATTGCCTGTGGCCTAGTGATGTGTCAAGATCTTGACCTCAGATCATTTGGACAAGTTTAAGGTTACAGTCAAAAAGGTGTAAAATTTTTGTCCAGTCCATAAATAAACATTGGAGGGACAAACTTCACACAGACTTTCTTATGTATTAAGGTACATGTATGTCATGCCTTAATTGACCAAAGATCATTTGATCCAAGTTCAAGGTCACTGGCAGAAAAAAGTGTAAAATTTGTGTCCAGTTTAATGATAAACATGTTGGATGTTGATACTTCAAACAAAGATAACTCATAAGTTGAGGTATATCATAACCTTGACCCAAGGTCATTCTGGCAAGTTCAAGGTCACTGGCAGAAAAAGTGTAAAATTTATATCCTTTCCATAACTTGCTAATGGAGAAAAATCAGAAGTTCATACTTCACACAAATTAAGATTACTTTTGACTAGAGGGTGTACATTATTTTTCTTGATCAAAGATCAGTTGTGCAATTTATAGGCCAAGTTTAGAGAAAAAATGTACTTTGGCACTTTAAAAGAGTTGCAATGGGGGTATAATTTTGTAAGCTCGGAGCCTTCTCAAAGTAGCCCTAGCTCTTAAAAAGCATGTTTTCTTTAACTGTATTTTATATGTTTTACTGTATTATTTGAACATGTAAATACAATGTATTGACATTCATGCAAATTTTTTTTTTTTTTAGTTTTGTTTACATACATTGTACATGTATAATTTTCCAAAAAGTTAAATATACTAATTATGTGATGTTACTATTCTTTTTTTATATACTATGGAATCATTTTAATTTGTAAGGGTCAGTGTTCGTGGACAAGCAAAATTTTACTTGTTCGTGGGAACGTAATTTTGTGGCTTACTCGTTTATACAGTGGTTTAATGAATCAGTATCAGATGCTGGTTGAAATATAATGTAGCCTTGCGCCCGGGGCTAGTCATTTTAAGACTCGGGCTAGCTAATTTAAATGTAACAATAATCCGTCAGACTAGCTGAACAGAAAAAAATTCTTGTCAGTTTACTTTCTATGTAGACTGGTTTCTTTTGACTGAGAACTAGTTTAATTTGTTTCTGTCACCAAAGCGTTTGAAACTTTAACTTGTTAGTTATGTTTTCATTTTGGATAAAAAAAATTGTTTGGCTAGTTAGTTTGAGGTTTGGGCTAGTAAATTTTTACTGATCAGTAGCCCCTGGGCTAGTGGGATTTCCAGGAAAATTTCAACCCCTGAGTGTGTTTACAAAATAAACTTTTGTGGGGATGTAAATTTGTGGGTAAGGGTGACCCATGAAGTCCATGAACATTGGTCCCCCACGAACAATGATGATTTCACAGTAACTCATAAAGTGGTCACTTATTCTTTTGAGATTAAAAATGATAATGGACAGGCATATTAAAAATACTGAGGTGAACAAGAAATGATTGAAAGAATGTAGAGTATGGAAAGTGCTCTTAATTATACTCTAAACATAAAGCTTGTGCAAATAGCCATTCGATTTGACTGTTTACAAATGAAATACAGTCGATAATTCACTGCGACTTAATTATTTAGATCTGCACAGAGTGTGTGTTAGTTCATGTGTATAATCTGTTATCATCCTAATTAATGTTTTAGAATGAGTTTGTTTACAGATAAATAGTTCGTACACATGATCATCATATATTATTATCAAAGTACCGATACAGTACTGAAAGACAGGGTCATATTAATGAAGTTCGTGATTTTATAAACTTCAGCTGAGTTGTAGATTTTCATATAATTTTGATACTAATTAACTTTAAAAAAATTATGAAATTAAAATTAAAATATAATTATTGTAAACAAAATATGAGATTTACTCTGTATTAGTTTTATTGATAGTCAAGGAACCTTATAGCATTGTCCAAACAAAACAAAATATATTGGATTCATGTATTGATAGTAAAGGAATCTTACAGCATTGTCTGAATTTGACTTAGTCCAAATTAATGCTATCTTATGATTTTATAAGTTTATAGTTATGCCCCCCTTCAAAGAAGAGAGGGCATATTGCTTTGCTGCTGTCTTTTGGTTGGTCGGTCTGTCGGTTCACCAACAGTTTCCATTCATTTTCTTTGCAGAGGTTGCACATACTGAAATGAAATTCGGTATACAGATTTATCATAAAAATATCTAGGTCAAGATTTGTTTGGGTACGATCGAGCAATTTTTGACAGAATTATGCCTCTTCGACTTTGAAAAATTCCAATTATTTGCAGTTTCTGTTCATTTTCTTCACAGAGGTTGCACATACTGAAATAAAATTCGGTATACAGATTTTTCTTAGAAATATCTAGGTCAAGTTCTCTTTTTTGGGTATGATCAAGCAATTTTTGATAGAGTTATGCCCCTTGGACTTAGGAAAATTCCAGTTGTGGGGGGTGGGGGGCATAAGTGTTTCCCAATCATCTCTTGTTTTGAAAATGATTCACTAATATCTCTAATTTGTGCAGAAAAAAAATCTTCCTATTATTTTCTTTTGTTTGATTTAGTGTGAATGTCTTTTGACCAAAGCAATTTTTGCATGCTCTATTTTTTTGAAGGGTAGATTCAATTGAGATGCTTAGTGCTTCAGTTTGAAGCCGAAGGCATTTATGCATAAAATTATCATGCAAGCCAATTGCTTGATCATCATCATGAAACCAAAAAATTTTATAGTTATTCCTTAAATATTTAGGTGCTCTTGATTACGTAAATTCAAGTGCTACAAGCCCCACCTATTTCTGTCTCTCTGTCTCGCCTTGCACATAACTTTTTTAACCACGCCTATTGATGAGCCAGTATGTTGAAATCAAGTATTTTTACTATTTGTAGTTTTATCTCGGACAAAGAAATTTAAAAAAATTGTAAAGATTGTGAAATATATACATTTGCCAATTGCTTTATCAGTGATGGGGGATGGCCAATTAAGTTAGTTGAGATTTCCCCATTTGAGAGGCCAGGGCAGGGTGGGGATGATAATTTTTTTTATATATATTTATATAAGAATGTGTTGATGTCATTAAGTGTTTATGAGGATTATAACCAGCCTCAGAGCACAAAAATTCTTGAAAGATTTGCCACTCTTGCAAACATCAGAGGTGCACTGTTGTCAGTTAATTGTGCTAATACTGCAATATATTGTACTTCTGCTTTTTAAACAAATTCACAGAATGTATTTATAAAATGATAGGGGAATATATCTTTAATTGTGTTTGTTACTCTTAGGATTTAAAAGAGGTGCATACCATAGTGTCTTTTTTTTTTAGTTCACTTTGGGTAAATACTGTTAATGATAATGAAATTGCAACCTCCCACATTGCAATACAAGATAAACTTCTATTTTGACTCTTTACCATGTTCTACTGTTGAAATAGCTGGCAGGGATTAATTGTCCTGTCAGCTCTGCTAAGCAGGTATTTGATGAGCTGCACCATCTTTTGAGGAAAGATATTTTTAAAAAATGTGTGGAGTCATATAAAGATTGTATTTACTGAATACAACATATTGAGCCACACATTGAAACCTTTTATGTAAGCAGCACAAGAATAAAGTCATATTTCTGATATTTTTAAAAATTGCTATTTGAAGAAGGAAAATTGAATAGAAAATTTAAAGTTTTGCATCAAGGAAGTTAAACCAGATGAACTTGTGAAGTTTACAATACAGCATGTACATATATGTACATTTTATTATTGTATGCCGCGTGTCACCATGTGTAGTAATGATTGTAAGAGTTCACAAAGTATATTTATCTTTTATCCGATGAATTTATGCTTTTTTGTCTATAGATTCAATAATGGTATTAATGCAATAAGATTCAAAGTTTTTAAAGGCAATCAGCATTCAGCCAGTCTAGTTTGGCTTTATGTTTTAGTTGGAACAATTGACACTTGAAAACCTAAGTTTTGTTATAGTTCTGAAGTGGGTTAATATTATTACTTAAACAAAGTTAAGCATGTCCTTTTGTCGTATGTAATGGTCTTAAATCTTTTTTTAAAGGTCTCTGAGAATAAGTGCTGACTTTGGTTGCTCCAATGGGCAAGTGTCAATCTTGCTGTGAGGCAAAAGGACCGACATCAGGTTCTCGGTACCACACACCCTCAGATTACAGAACCAGAGGAGTGCCACGGAGCATCAGCAAAGAGTTAGAGACTACCAGCATCACAATTCCAGTGATGGCATCCTCGCGGTCGGTGCCGGTGGCATCTGATCGGAAAATGTTCACACCTTATCCGAAACTGCCTCCGATTAAAAAACCCAGTAATGGAGAGAGCAAACGCTTGTCTTTTATTTCCCGTGATTTCTCAGAATCAAAAGTTCATGCTCTTTTTGAACAATATAAAGATGCTGTTGAGGATGCCATCTTGGCGGAGGGTGTCGAAGCGTTTTGTTGTGATTTAGAAGTGAATCCTGATGACTTTATCGTTCTGGTGCTAGCGTGGAAATTTCAAGCAGAAATGATGTGTAAGTTTACAAGGGAGGAATTTCTACATGGTTGTAAATCCTTAAAGGTTGATTCAATTAAAGGAATCCAATCAAAATTCACAGAGTTGTTGACAGAAGTGCAAAATAAACAAATTTTCAAGGATCTGTATCGATGGACTTACAAGTTTGGCCTTGATGTGGAAACGGGACAGAGGACTCTACCCATAGAAATGGCTATCAGCCTTTGGAAACTTGTGTTTTCACAAAATGAACCTAAACTTCTTAGCCGTTGGCTTGAGTTCTTGGAGGATCATCCAAGTATTCGAGGAATTCCTAGAGACACATGGGATATGTACCTGAATTTTACGGAACAGGTTTCTGACGACTTGAGCACGTATGATGATACAGAGGCATGGCCTAGTCTTTTTGATGATTTTGTAGAATATGAAAATGATAGGCAAAATCAAAATGTCAAGATGATATAAGTAAAGCAGGAAACATATGGTCCCTTTGTCCTTAAAAAAAATATTGTTCTTTTTTTTTTTGTTCATAAAATGAACATGTGCTTGTTTAGATTTTTAGAATGTGCAGAACTGTATATAATGCATGATATTTGTATTTTTGTCATAAGCAGATGTTTTGGAAACTGTTAATGTCCATGACATTTTATCACAGAAAAAAAATGATTATTATAAGTAGTTTGGTCATTGAACATGTTGAAAAATACCCTTAAATGTGTGGAAAACACGATTTGCAGTTCAAGCTCCTGGTACACCTGTACTGGATTTCATTTTGCACCATTGATAGCCATTGAATCACAATTCACCAACATTTATAATTCACTTATTTTGTCAAACTTGTTGAGCTTAGCTATTTACTATAAATATTTTTGATTGCAGCATCCCTGGCATTTTCACTTGGCATTGAAGCTTGATGTCTGTATTCAACTTATGTACTTGTTATTTTTTTGTAATTTTTTTTCTACTGCCATGTAAAAGAACACTACATACATGTATATTAATATATATGCGAAAAAACTGACTTTATGACCACAGTGAATCTCAAATTGTAGCAATGTGCAGACACCCTCCTGCCCCTTCCCCATCTTCACTTATTCTGTACACATAAACAGAAAATTACATCTGTATATTTTTTTCTGTTGTTTAAAAGTAGCATGTATACAACCTTTCAAAGTTACAAAATTAGATTAACAAAAACTAAAACCATGACATTTTTTACAGTGTATTTCAAGAAGCTTATCAACCCCACCCTGATTATTAACAGAAAGTTTATGTATGTTTGTGGGCAATCGTACATTGGACTAATACTCATGGATGGATTAAGAATATGTTGCTTAGATGTGTCATAAATTCACTTGTCATGTGAAAGCATGTGATCAGAACAATGTATTGATTTGTTTGTTCAAAGAACTAGAATAACAGCATAGATAGCCTTAAACAGGGCCAGAGATCACAGAATATTGAAATAGTTTTCACGAGACAAACACCCAGTAATGTGTTAAGTTCAGCAGATTATTTTTGCATTGTTTGAAGAACAGTTTTATGATTGGACGTAATGGCTGTGTAAAATCAATGCCGTTGTTAATCTTCGAGGATAAATATTGGTTATTTTACACTTTGCTGGTATTTTTCCCGATTGTTTTTGAATTGTTTTGAAATTATGCCAGTGGATTTTTTTTTCTCAGATTCTTATACGTGACTACTTTCTTAGTCTTGTGAAATTCACAAATTACTAAAAATTTTGACCATTATTACAAATTTTGGAGAATAATTCTGTTCAGTTTCTTAGAGGAATGTCATCTGTAATAAGAAAAAAAGGGGGGGTCAGTAATTTTTTAAGTAATAAAAATATAAATGAAACAAAGTATATAGCAGTCATTGATAAGTCTTTGACTCTATATTTAGTTTTGATGAAGGGATTTCACTCCTCAGTTTACAGACTGATGCAGTTACCTTTGATATTTTGAAAAACGAGTGATCATCAGGTACAATTAATGTAATGATTCTGTTCTAAAGAATATAGATTGACATGCAATGAATGTTTACTGATCTGAGTGTACCTTGACAACGGTTGTTTCTATTTTGTAGTTAAGTAGTTCGATGGGATAATACTGCAAAATTGATGGACCTTTGTGTATTAGCTGAGGAATCTTTGATTACTGAGTAATTACTGAGTAGATATGAGATATCTGTAGATCATTTGTGTGTTTTTAGCTCACATGAGCAGTCAGGGGCATGATGGAAACAAGTTATTTTTTAAATAATGTTTGAGTTATTTTGGGTTATCTTTCCCTGATTTTTTTTCTTCAGTAACTTATTCAGGTTATTGATACTTTACTTTTCATATTTTAAACCTACTGGTATCTGAAAAACTTTATTCATGCTATGCTTGGGCTATTTAGTATACAGAAATGAAAAAGGAGTGAAGATAATGAACAGTGATCGATCTCATAAAAACTTCAAACAATACAAATCTGTGAACAGGGCATAAACATGGACCCTTGGAAATTCCAGAGTTGGGATCAGGAGCCTAGGAGGCATAAGCATCCCCTGTTGACCAGTCACACCTGCCATGAGTTCTATGTATTGATCAAGTAGACACAACATTCCGTAGTCAAATTTAGTATAAAAACAAAGGAAAAGAGTCATGGCAGTAAAAGTAATCAGTAAAATTTCACAAGTTGAAATTCAACATATTATAACTTACTTCAGTTATTTCATCCTTAACCCACCTCAATATAGAACTCTTGCACAAAAATCTACAGTTTTGCACAAATAAATGTAAGACATAGAAATTGTACATTAATATCCAAGGATTTTAGGAAAATTAGTTACAGTGTTGGCAAAATTGATGGAAGTTGTGCAAATGAACACTTCAGTGTTCATGAAATGCAATTATTTTTCCTTGAAAAAAATCATGAGATTTTGAAAAATATCATCCTATCTGCTCAGAAGATATCAAATATGTCAAATCAAGTCAAGAGAAGTAAATGAATTTGCAACTTTCTCAGCCTAATGTCATCTTAAATCAGCAGCAAACTCTTAATATGGATGTTTTTTGACAAAATTGATAGGCATTCTAGTTTTTTAAGAATTAACTTAAATGAGTTATTTCTTTGTTTCTTTGTTAAGTCATAAATAAGTGAAGTAACCTAAGCAAGTTTTTTTTTTTTTTAAACTTGTTTCCATCAGGCCCCAACTGATGAGACGAAGGCTCGATCAAGTGAGCTTTTCTGATCAAAGGGTGTCTGGCATCCAGTGTGTCATCTGTAAACTTTTTACAATTTTGACTTCTTCTCAAGAATCACTAGACTAATTTCAACCAAACTTGCCACAAAGCATCCTTGGGTAAAGGGATTTAAGTTAATTTAAATGAAGGGCCATGCCTCCTTTCTAGGGGAGATAATTAAGTAAAAATTTAATGGCATCTTTCAAAAATCTTCTCATGAAGCACTGGGCCAGAAAAGTTGAAACTAAAATGAAAGCTTCATTACATAGTGTAGATTCATGCATGTACAAAAATTTGTCACAATTGAAGCTCAAACTTTTACACAGGAATACATATGAAAAATCTTTTAAAAATCTTCTTCTCAAGAACAGCAATGCCATTCACATTAGTCATATTAACATGGAAGCATGCATCCTCAGTTTTGTTCAAATCATGACCCACAGAGGATAGGGTGGGACCACCCATACATTTTAAACTTTTCAATACTGAATTCTGCTTTTCTCAACCAAATGTTCAGGTGAGCAATGTGACCTTGTGGACCTCTTGTATTTGTTAAGATAAATTGGTGTTTTCACTCATATATATCAATTTGGCTGAATGGGTCTGGATTGAAAGATGATCTTTGTTTAGTCGTTTGACTTAGTGATTTGAAAATATAGAAGTAACTTATTTAATCATTTTTAGCTCACCTGAGCTGAAAGCTCAAGTGAGCTTTTCTGATCACCTGTTGTCCGGCGTCTGTTCGTCTGTCTGTCTGTCCGTCCGTCTGTAAACTTTTCACATTTTCAACTTCTTCTCAAGAACCACTGGGCCAATTTTAACCAAAGTTGGTACAGAGCATGGGTGAAGAGAAGTTTAAATTGTTAAAATGAAGGGCCAACCCCCCTTACAAGGGGAGATAATCAAGAAAAGACAAAAATTGGGTGGGGTCATTAAAAAATCTTTTTCTCAAGAACCACAGGGCCAGAAAAGCTGAAACTTATGTGGAAGCATCCTTGGGTAGTGTAAATTCTAAATTGTTCAAATCATGACCCCCTGGGGTAGATCGGGGCCACAATAGGGAATCAAAGTTTTACATTGAAATATATAGGCAAAATCTTTGAAAATCTTCTTCTCAAGAACCACTGGGCCAGAAAAGCTGAAACTTATGTGGAAGCATCCTTGGGTAGTGTAGATTCTAAATTGTTCAAAGCATGGTCCCCGGGGGTAGGGCGGGGCCACAATAGGGAATCAAAGTTTTACATTGAAATACATAGGCAAAATCTTTGAAAATCTTCTCAAGAACCACTGGGCCAGAAAAGCTGAAACTTATGTTGAAGCATCCTTGGGTAGTGTAGATTCTAAATTGTTCAATTCATGGCCCCCGGGGGTAGGGCGGGGCCACAATAGGGAATCAAAGTTTTACATTGAAATACATAAGAAAAATTTTCCAGAAAAGCTGAAACTTATGTGGAAGCATCCTTGGGTAGTGTAGATTCTAAATTGTTCAAAGCATGGCCCCCGGGGGTAGGGCGGGGCCACAATAGGGAATCAAAGTTTTACATTGAAATACATAGGAAAAATCTTTGAAAATCTTCTTCTCAAGAACCACTGGGCCAGAAAAGCTGAAACTTACGTGGAAGCATCCTTGGGTAGTGTAGATTCTAAATTTTTCAATTCATGGCCCCTAGGCGTAGGGCAGGGCCGCAATTCATATTACAAAGGGGAGGTCTTGTGAAGAACAGCAGGGCCAAAGTAACTCAGGTGGGCGTTGTGGCCCATGGGCCTCTTGTTATGTTTCAAAATAATGTGTCAAAAACTTTGGTTTAAAACATTTGCACTCACTTTTTAGTAAAATGTTGAATGTATAATTAGATTACCAATAAGACGTATTTTACTTACATGTAAGGATCAACTTAAAAAACCTCAGACCAACTCTTGTTATATAAATGTATGTAATTTATAAATATCTGAATGATGCCTAAACATAGGTACTGTATGATTTAACTCTGAATTTTGTGTGTGTGTAAATATAAGTAGGGAAAAAGACTATGAACATCACTGTATAAAGTAATCAAGTTTGATCAATGTGAATATGGTATTATAATTTCAATTCCACCATGTCCGTCCAAAATCTTCTAGTCTGAGAAAATACAAAGGAAGTAATTAATTTGTGGAATCTGAAGGAAGAGAGAAAGATTTTGTTACTACGTAATTATGACTGTTAAGGAGGCTTTGCTAAATCAAGTATGTCATAAAGAACCTTTTCAGAAAACTCCAGTTAGTTTATGTATATTCATGTTTTTTAAAAAAAAGTTCACAAATGTCACAGGGCATGCCCTTGTTGTCATGGTGAGGTGAGAAATTCCTTATTTTGACAGTTAAAGT